TAACAAAGGCACAAGAGATGAGCATTTGCTGTAAAGTCCACTGAACTCTGTGCTCATATATGTAATAATTCTGTAGATAACTTGAGGATTAGAAAACATCTACGTAGGAAGAAGAAAAAGCCCACAGTCATCAGCAAGTAGTTATGCTGATTTGCCTTGTGAGGACCTGCCCATTTTTTTTTATCAAAATTAATTTTCCTACTTTTCTATGTTTGTTAATTTCTAAAGTTCATTTCACACTGCATTAAAATAAGAAAATGTGGATTGTTTTCTAATAAGCAAATAATTAATTTTAACAGAATTTCATAGTTATGTAAAAGAAATTTTGGTTTTACATTGAATACAACAGCTTTGCAAAAGCCTTATAATAATCACATTACGATATTCAAGCAAGGATTTCATGAACGGTTTGTAAGGATCTTAAGTTTTACTAACGTTTATTTTATTTTAAATCTTTACTATCACTTCTTATTTTCTACTTCCGGCCAGAATTATAAGCGTGAAGGTTTTTATGCAAAGTTTGTCTGGCGAACGCCAAGTACTTAAGTTGTGGCTTTTTGCCAAGCAAAAAAGAGAGGAAGCAGTAAGTCAACGCAGGCCGCTTACCTTAGAAGTTACGCAGTTGCTGTTCGCCTTCCAGGCCAGAGGTTTTAATCCTCTTGATAAATTAAACGTATTGTAGTGTTCACAGTCTCTGTGTTACATACGCTTCCTGTTATTATAAGGCCAATCTTCCACGTGTATTCTAAAGTTAAATTAGAGTTTAGTTTTATTTTTTATACTTTTTTACGTTAGACCCCGAGTGGAGGGTCAGTGTATTCCGAAGTATGGAAGTTTGTATATAGAGAAAAATAAAGGGTTTTGTATACCCTTCGTCTGTATCCTGTCTACTTACCACAATTAGTGAACATAGTTTTAGTAAGCTCTCTGTTCCGAGTCAGGTCCTTGTATGTTCCCGAAGAAGGTTAGAAGGAACATTGAACCTGATAGGTTGTGCTTTCACAATTATTTTTTGCAAAATTTAGGACAATTTTTGTGAAAAAAATCTTTTAAAATTTTAAAACTGGACTGAAAGTTTTAATAGAATTCTAAAATTTGCATTTAATATAAAAAAGTGTTGTATACAAATTTTGTTATAAAAAATTACTTAGATATGAATTTTATTTCTTTTTCAAAATTATCTTCCCCTTGTTTTGCTAACATTCTAATGCTTCTTCCTAAAAGGCTTTTCTATCGCCAAGCCTTTTTTTCTATTTGAAGAAAGGGAATATGTATGCTAAAACACAATTTAATTCCTCCTTTCAATTTGGCTATGTCCTCCTTCTGTGTTAAAACTACCAATATGCATCTAAAGTGCATTATCTGAAAATTTAACCACATTAGGAAAAGTAGTATTATGGGCATTTTTCATCGAATCACATTTCAAATTTAGAGAAAGGGTGAAGCGGAGCAGCAGGTAAAGCAGGAAAAAGGATGCAATTAGTAACAGGGGTATTTATAAACTTGGTTCGTTTCTTTAAATTTGAACTGTGATCAGATAAAAAAATATCCCCATTGCTACTTTTATATAATGGCATAATTCAGACTGGCTTGCAGATGATACACTTTAGATACAAATATTAGTAGTTTTAACAAAAGAAGAGAATTAAAAGGACTATTGATAAATTAAAGTTTATCACATTCCAGAAATTACTGAAAAGACGAAACTCAAAGAAAAAAAAAAAAATGGCATCTTTGATGGACTGTACTGCTTCAATAAGCTCGACAACATGCCAGCGCTCATACTCTCCCATTAGTCTTCTTTCAGCCATAGAAACACAAATAACATCAAAAATTATAAATACTATGCATCAGCATTTAAATGAACCTCCTCAAACCCTTCACAATGCTGGAGTCTTCAATAACAGCCTAATTAGCATATGTTCAAACAGTCAATCATGATTGGCTGTAACGATATTAGCATACTTCATCTGCATTTGCAGCAATTTTCAACCACTTAATTCCACTACACTAATGAAGATTGGTAATTTGCACAGCCTGCTTACCTTTAAGAAGTTAGTGTATAATTATGTGAAATATAGGTTAGGTTATTTAATTACGGCAAAGCCTCAAGGGCTATCTGCCTAAGAGGAGGGATGCCTTCGTGGATGACTTTCTAAGGGAAACTGGCTCATATACACGTTACACATGGGGCAGACCACGAAAACACCCAAGCCCGCCAGCCTGTTTCGCGGTAACCGATAAGACGAAACTACCAGTGTCACAGCAGGTTACCAACCCTTATACTTGTGTACTACTTTACCACATTTTATTCAATGAATTGTGTAAAAGATAAAAATGATCTGATAATTTCGATGTTTGTTTGTTACAAAATAAAGTTTTCACTAACAAAAACACACAAGTGTCATCATGTGTCTACTTCGTCGTGCATTTTCTGTTTCCTCATCAAAAATTTTTCATTATGTATATAATGTAACTATAAATTAACTGTAAGAAAAATAAATGCCAGACCAATTCCACCTGGATAAAACAGCAACAATTCCTCAACCATGGAAATTTGAATCTGCAAAAGAACATGAACAATTTGAAAGCAGAGAAATGAGAGATGGAAAATAAGCTCACACTGTTCTTACGTTATTTATTACAATATGTTGTTATACATATCATTATAAATATTCCTGATTGAAGAAATATGAAAATAAAGAAATACAAAAATTATTACAAAGGAAACACAAAAGTTCATGAATTAAATTCCTATGGGAAGATACTTGATTTTTTAATGATAGTAATAATTCATTACTTTATTTTTATAGTCATTACATTTTGTCTCCTAAAAACTAGATGCAAAATCTTTTTCAATTTTAATATAAATACTAAATAACTTTATCTGTATTAAAAAATAATAATCAACGGAAACAGATTTGCTTTTAGTATTAAACACATGTATAAAACTAAAAAGCTATTGTACTTAGAATTACATGACCTTTAAGTGTCATTAATAAATTTTGAATTTTTTATATAAAACTGATTTCATATCATCAGGTTTCTTCCAAGACACTTAAAGAAGCTGGGGGGGGGGAGAAAGTGAAACAAATGAAAGAAACTGAAAAAAATGAACCGGGATGCACCCATGGAGCTGCTATACATGATAAATTCATTAATAACAATTTCATTTACTTGAAACAAAATGTTTTATGATTTCTGTAATAAAATGCATTAATTCTGTTCAAAAACCCAGTATTAAATGTGGTAGAATCATTTGTTGATGTATTTCATTGAATTTTCCACCCTCTCAATCATACTGGCCCAGTAACAAAATGATCATTATGATTTTATAAATAATAATTTTTTATTTGTTATTTATAATATTGGCTTTTAGGAATATTTTAGGATTTTAAATATGCCCCAATTTATATACATATTTTGTTTTACTTCTTTTCTTTGTCAACACATATAATGCAAATATTTAAACTTAATAGTTACACAGTCATATTTTACATAAACACAATATAAATATATTCATAAGAAAAACAAAAAAAAATTAATTTCTTGTTTCTGATTTTCTGCCTACCAATGGCCGAGCAGTTAAGTTTCTAACACTGGTAGTTCGACCTGGGTTTTGATTTCAAATACAATGGCTGCATTGGTGTTTTCGAATGAGTAACCTGGAGGCAATCCAGTTCTCAGAATGTCATCCATGAAGGCAACCCTCTGTTTAGCCCTAGCACAATTTGCCATAATCAAATAAACTAAGCGAAACCTTCCAATTTTCTCTAGTATGAAAGAAATTTACCAATCCCATTTCCACTACACCATTTCAAAAACTATACTTTATCATGATGCTATCTGCACTGCATTAAATCTTGTGTGACAGAATGTGTCACTTCTGAATGAGTCACTTTTTAAATTTCTCACAAACTATGTAATTTGGTTGAAAGTGAAGCTCATACACACAAGAGCAAATTTTCCTCTTCTTATGAATTCATCCATTTGAGATTATAAAACAGATTATTATATGCAATAGCAAAAAATTCTGTGTTGTATCATAAGAAAACCATTTAACAAAAACTTAATTTTTTAACTTTTCTTTTTTAATTCAATTCAGATGCCTGTCCCTTGTAAATAATTCTTATTATATGACATTTACTATTTATATGAAATGAAATTCAGCATCTATATAAATTTACTGATGTGAAAGCAGATCTTGTGCCAGTGGAAAAAAAAAAAAAAAAAAAAAAAAAAATACATACAAACATATATATTTATATATAGATATTGTACCAAGAAAAGGTTTTTGCAAGTACACAATGAGACTATTACATTTTATAAGGGAAAGAAATATTTAAATTATAATATAACTGCTAAATATAAATAAGATGTAATTATATCCAGTTCAAAAATTAGTTTTTTCCATTTCTACTGTGAAGAAACTTGCCAGTCCGACTTTAGATTCTTAAGTAAACTCATGAATAATCTCCATAAATTAAAAAAAAAATTAAATATTGTGCATATGTCCTTAAAGTACATTCAATCATAAAATTTTATCAGGAATATTTTAAATTACGGAAAAACAGACCAGAAAGAAAATATTTTTCAGTGTTGTTCCATAGCACAGAATAAAAATATTATAAAATATAAAAATGAATTATCTATAAATTCTCTATATAACTACATATTCTGCACCTTTTACTTCATAACCAAATCTTCTGGAAAGAAAACATTTAAAGACTACCTTTCAATTCATAATACTTAAACATTAAAAACTTTTTTCTGCAATTCAATGATATTCAAACAAATCTGATTAATGCTTTGGATGTATTTTTAGTATTAGTAATGCAATATGGTATTTCACATGCACATTTTTTTTTTCTTCATAATAATGGATTTGAAAAATCAGTTCTATTACCTTAAATAAAGGTACCTTAATAAAGGTAATACTGAGCTTCAGATTATATATTAAATTATACGATATGATACATAATAAAAACATTACTCCAGAATTAGTTTATATAATTTATTTTATAAGCCCTTTCCCTATGCAAAGGCTACATGAAAATTACACATTTCCTGATGAAATGCACCGTTTTAAATGCGTTTTAGTATCATCAATAATTCCTTGATGACACTGAACATATATTAACAAAGAAAGAGCTTGAGAAGGTACACTGCCATTAGGATTCATCTGTACAAGACATTCTAGAGCTTTTGACCATTCTTCCCTTAATGCATAAGCTACAGCTAAATTATACTGTGATATAAATTTTGCTGATGATATAGTATTTGGAAACCAATTAGGTATATTCCCAACAGGTCTGCTACCATCATCATTTTTTTCAGTCAATTTAGAATCAAACCTCATTTGATGTTTTAAAGAATTTTCAGAAGAACTGGCAGGAAACGCTAACTCTATATCACTAGTATACTGAAAATTAAGATGTTCTACTGCTTCTGTTATTCTATCCATAAGTAAAAGAGACTCTCCAGCGTATAAATGAGCAAGAAATTTATGAGCTCCAGAAATTCGGGGTTGAGATAGCAATGTTTTAGCATATTCATGAGCCAAAAGTACATCTCCTAAACATAAGGCCACATATGAACTGGCAATAAGAATTGAATTCCTAAGACTTAAAATCTCAGCACCTTGAATAAAATTAGAGGGCAAAGTAGGTAAAGTATTGTTTTCTTCAGAACCATTTGCCTCAGTTTCTTCTGAAGGATTCTGCATATCAGATAAAGTTTCACCTGTATTGTTTAAGGAATGGTTTTCAGGAAGAAGAAATAAAGCATTTTTTAAACAGATCATTGCAAAATGCAATGAAGGTGTTTCTATATTTGAAGCATCATTTAATTTTGAATCTTCAAACACTAGTTTATCAGATGCTGAATTCATAATTAATTTTCTATGTGGTCCAGCACCTACCAGAGCTTTAACAAATGATTTATGTTTACATTCAATAAACTGATCAGTATTATCAGGTTTATGATTATGAATGCAACATTCTGCAATACGCAGCCATAAACGTGGATTTGAACTATATGCCTGCACAACTTCAATAAAACACGAAAAGGCTTCCTTGAATTTTTGTGCCTGCAAGTACATCATGCCTAAATTATACACCAATTGGTAACGAGTAGATATACTCATAAGATGGAGTGGACGAGAATTCAGTTTGGATTCTGTGTTATCTGTTACAAGTTTTATTTCAGAATCAAATGCTTGTATAGCTTTGTCCATATAAAATTGTCCTAAATGAGGTTTTCCCATATAAAAATGAATGCAACCTACATTATTAAAAAATATAGCTCGGAGACAATCTCCAGTTTCTCTAAAGTATTTTGAAATATCTTCTGGTAAAGTAACAGAATTGAGTAACTTCAATGCTTTACGATAATTTCCACGCTGATATTCCAACTGACTTTTCAAATAAAATGCAGGAATATTCTGCACCACAGAACCTGAAGACATTAAGTTTTTAATTTCTCTTTTGCATGCTTTCGAAGTTTTGATCATGGCATAACACCTAGCTTTACATAGTTGTAATCTACGTTTTAATGTTTCTGATATACAATTATCACTATTATCCTCTTTCTGATTATCTCTTTCTTTCTGATTTTGTCTCCCAGAATTTTTGCTTCCAGCAGATAGTCCTGATTCCATATATGCAATGAGACATAGTGTTTTCTTAGGCTGATAAACACAGAGGCATAATTCTAAAAATAAAAAACCTATATTTTTTGCTAATACTTCATCCAAAGGTTCTATATATTGGAAGATTTTATCTAAAATATTTATAGCTGAATTATATTGGTGAAGGTGATACAACACAACAGCTTGATTATATAGAATAACACAATTGTCAACATCCTCAAGAACCTCAATATCTTGGATGTCTATGTGAGCTTGTTTACAAATTTCGATTAGATTTTTATTGAATATTTCTGTTTTCTTGCAACCAGAAATATAATATTCAGTCACACATATATTATGAAATACCTTTGTGTCCTGCTGTCGCTTGGATAGCAATTTATTAAGAGAATTTAAACACTGTTCATAATTTCCCATTTCAAATTCTTGAAATGCAATAGTGGCCAACTCTTTGTCTGCATCTGGAACAGCTTGATGACTGCTTACACTTTCAGTTGAAATTTTTCTTGATTCATTTTCATCTTCGTCACACATGTTGACCTTAAATATTTCTTTTGCTCTCAATGAATTCCTCAATCAACCAGAGCAGTAAAAACCTAAAACAAAATATATCTTAAATAAAAGAAAAAAATAATAAGGAAAGCAATACAAGCAAAATATCATTGAAATTTTAAAAACATAAATAAGCACATAATTAAAAAAAATATATTCTTCCAAGAAAATAGAAACTTAATAAAGCATATCTCAAATTTCAGTATAGTTTCTTTTCCAAGAAGAGAAAACAAGCTCTACAAAGAACTGGATACAAAGAATCTTTACTCTCTTCTTTCTCTGTCACAGTAAGATGAATTATTTTGGCTGCATTATTTAAAAAAATTATCCATCCCATTAAAAAATTTCAGATTATTGGCAACCCTCCCCAAAAAATTAAATACCAGTTAAAGCCATGGATGAATATGCATGGAAGAAATAGACTTCCTTATAAACAGACTAAATGGTTACTTTATTATTATTATTTTAATTTAATTAAGTTAGCAGAAGTTAAATGATTCATTATGAAAAATTACTTAACTCAACACCTTGCCTTCATGGAGGACTTCCTATGAGAAATTAACTGTCATTATGTGTGGGAAAAGAATCATAAAAACCTCGTGCTACTAACACATTCAACAACATGTGGAGATGGGATCATAAATTTGAAAAGCATTGAAATACTTATGAAGTACGAAAAACTTTGAAAGTCTACTACATGACAAGATTTAATAATGCAGTGAATTAAGAAACAGTTCATAATTCATGCTAACCAATAAAACTTCCTACAAGATCATATATATTGCTGCCAAGATCGAAATTTTGTTCACATTAACAAAGCGTTTACCTGAAGTGAGTTTGTGTTAAAGGGGATTTACTGTATCATCATAGCAACAACAAACTGACACTCCATTTCTCTTACTTCAGACATGAAGGAGATTTACCTATGGCTCCTCTGATGACATAAGAAATGGCCAACATACTTCCTTCAGAATCCAACTATCAGCTGGAGAAACTCATTTGGTCTTCATTTTCCTAAATCAATGTTTAACCATGGACAATTTTAGATTATAATGCTAAGTGTTTAATATATCAAGAACAAACTACAGCAAAATAAATTACTCCCCAATTCTTAAGAAAATATAGTATACAAAGAAACCTTTTAACACTGAATCATTTATTTGCACACTTTTACAGACAATGATGAAGGCACAGTGATGATGAATTACTTCTCAAAATCCCATTCCTAAATATAATGCAGAATGCTGCACTTTAAAATCCTATAACAAAGTAAAAGGAATAAACAATAAAAATTTTAAAGCAGATTCTACTTTAACACAATAGTATTATTCTACTAGCCTAAGAATGTGATTGTGACGTGTTATTCTCGGTTTCTACTACTGTGGTAGAACTTCCAACAGTTTCAAGGTGATCTTTACATTACAGAGCATGAGCCAAAGGATTATATTATGTTTCCTTTGGAGGAAAGAACATGACTGTAGAAAAGATAAAAGAAAGTCACTTCTGCCTGGGATGTCAAAAACTATGATTTGAACAACATTGAAGAAGCATCTGATCTACCAGTGGAAAGTGGTGTCAGCATCATTACGCGACAAGGACATCAGCATATAATCCTGCAAAGAGGGAATCATAAAACATGGAATTTAAAAAAATGATGAAAAATACTCAGTTCTGGTTTTGATGCCATGTGAGTAGTGTCGCCTGGAGAGAGTTTTAAAAGTGCAACATCATCACTAAAACTTGAAGAGAGAGTTTATGTGACTTCCCTCAAATCACCATTTTGGAAGTAGAATTTTAGAAAATTGCAAGTCTTTTTTAAAATTTTCATAAAGTCCAGGGCATACTGAAGTTTTTCAAGAAGTGAATTGGTTTCAGACAGCTTCAATAACTTTGAAGAAAAATTTTCCGAAGACTTGAATGAGCTTGTAGATTAAATTTTGATAAAATCTCGGTCATCAGGAGTTTGATTTCTCGATGCAGTACAGCCCAGATTATGGGCTTTCTTCACATGTAAAGTTGAACAGTAGATGAATTCTGGTTATCTACATCTACTACTGGGTAGAACAAGCATTCGATGGAGGTAACCAAATGATCAGATTTACATTTGATGCAAATTGGCTTTGCATCTCTTGAGAACTTGCACTGGATCCTGGGAAAAGTGCCTTGGGATTATTACACCCCGTCTGTCCATGACCGAAGCAATAGCTTATAACATAATTTTGGAGATTTTCCCAAATGAAACTTCTTAATTTTAATAAACAAGGGCAGAAGGAATTTTTCATGGTACATCCCAGTGCTTTTGTCATTGCATTTGAATTTAACAACGAAAATCAGGTGGTTAACAGTTCCTTTCTTGGTCTTTTTAGTGAATTGCTTTAGCTTAACAATTGAGTACCCTTTGTTTAGTTCCTTCACTATTAAAACAAAATTTTCACTTGCAAAATTGGAGACTGTTCTTTTGTATGGAATATAGAAAACTGGAACTCGTTTTTGAAGACAGCCCTCGGAGTTCTTTCTCTGCTGTTATTGTCATGAAATATCAAGAGAGAGTGCCTGTTTAATCCTTGATGTTGTTTTCATTGAGAACAGATCTAAGTTCTCTCCACATGACTTGAGGATGATGGATGGCAGGCATAAATTCTTTTCCACAGGTGTTGGGATGGGAGGCAATTTCTTCTTATCAATCAATAAAGTCAATAAAGTCTAATTCCTTCAGACAACTGAGCGAGTTTTTCATGGATAAATTAGATGAAATTTTACAAGCATCAGAGTTAAATTAGGAATGCACATCTGTAGTCGTTTTGGCAGAATCCGAAAACACTGCACAGTTATCACTTTTCATCTTTGGTTCGATGTTAAAATAATCGGTCTCGTTCGCTATTTCCTTGGAACGAGCAAGTACCATTGTCACAGAAGTAGATGGGTCCATTTGAAGATGGCCATCATCAGCTTTTATTTCAGTGTCGATATCCGAGTCAGGCATGTTCCAAGTCACTAGAATCATGTCAGAATAGTCCACTAAGGTACTGGAACAATCATCAGCTGGGGCAAGTAGTGGTATCCCTAGTGGCTACATAAATCAAAGAGAAAATTCCATAATGGTGCAGTTGCCTGATCAGTTTTAACTCCTCTTGAGAAGTTCATCAGGAACATTTTCTCTACACATGGCTTTATACTGCAGTTTATGAATGTCCTTTAAAATCATGATTAGGAAATCATCAAGATTGTTTCGCTTTGATTGAACATGAGCAAGTATATGAAACATCAACTGTGAAATAAGCATTTTGTGCATTTCTTTGTCGCAAAATCAGAAGTGTCAATAATGTTCATCATGAACTTGTAATTGAGGAAAAGCCTAAAATTACATAGCCTTCTTATACAGTAAACTGATTATATAGTTTACTATGTAAGATGCAATTCAGTTGTTAAAGCAATTCTTACAACTATACAGGGAAATCCAAAAGTTGTGCAGATCAAACTTTTAAAAAATGCAGAAATTTCAAAGTGAGTATTAATGCTTAATTGTATTAATGGATGGTACCCTTTTGCACCACCAGTGATTAATCGCAACATGTTGTTTTGGAAAACATCCACTTTGTTTCTAACAGAATATGAGGCAGTAATAAAGTCTCATTACCCAATTGAACAACAGGATATGCATAACTTTTATAGGCTGTACACAAAACATCTTGGGTTGAACATTAAATAATACCAGCCAGATGTTTCAGTAATTTAGATCTCAAATGTCCTCAATCAATGGCTACATTTGTTTTCTCCAGGATAAGTTTGGGTCTAAATGAATGCCTCAGTAAAAAGAATCATATGTTCTATTTATATCTTTATTATTATAATGAAGGTAAATGTCATGGTATTTAGTACTATGGGAGAACAACTGAAAGGTAGGTTTTTCAGTATTTACTACATTATTTTCCCGAATCCAAGCGTTAAGAATATTTAAGGTCTGTTGTAACACACTCTACAGGCCAAAAACGTCATATCGAGTAACACTCATAACATCAACAGCAATTAACAAGATATTGATGCCCAGAACAGATCTAGAAATATTGTGAATTAACCCGTTTAACATTAAAAAGAATAGGGCACATTACTGCTCCCTGAGATAAATCTTATTTTCAGAAGTCAAACAACAAAAATCGGTGTTATATTTACAAAATTGTAATATAACATTAAAAATTTTGTAAAAATTATAAATTTTGTAAATAAAACGCTGATTTTTGTTGTTTGACTTCTGAATTAGTATTTATTCGGCGTGTTATTGTGTCTTAAATCTTATTTTGTTTGTCAATAATCCAACACTTTTTGACTATATTTAACACATAAATCGCTGGTCAAGAAAACTTTTAATCCACTTATGCAAGCTACCAGAAATGCCACATGAAATCAATCTTTTGAGCAATCCTGCTTTCTAAGTTTTATCAAACGTATTTTTGAAATCTATGAATACTGCAGGGGTTGCTTTCTCTGAAGGCCATCCTATATCTCGAGATAAGCAGACTATTTGTTCAGCAGTATATCTATGTCTTCGAAAACCTGCCTGCCTCTGAGAAACCACACGAGCTTCCTTCAACACAAACAACAATCTGCTAATTAAGACAAAATAACATGCAGAACAAGTATTAATTTAGAAGTCAAACAACAAAAATCAGCGTTATATTTGCAAATTTTCACAGCAAGGTGATTCAAAATTTTATGTCGTTTCAGGGAAAATTTAGTGAAAAGGTTAATGATTAATCTGTAAAAATTTGTAAATATAATGCTGATTTTTTTTTTTTTTTTTGACTTCTAAATTAACAATTTGTTAGCAACTAATCTCTCAGTTAACTTGCATAAAATGCTTTTAAGAGAGACTAGGGGGATAACTATCCAAAGTCTCAACCTATTTGTTAGGTTTGATAACTCGTAATATCATAGCCATTTCTCCAAGTTTGGTTTATAAACTTCATTAATACAAGTTTCACAAAATCGCTATAAGATTCCAACATGGCATGCACACTCTTACCTTTCACTAAAGTACAAAGACCAT